TTTGACTAGATGGACAATGTCTTTCCTGTTTGATAGCACCACACCCAAACCAACCTTTCTGTCTTCAGCACTTTACCAGAAGCAGAAACAAAACTGACTTGCGTTGTTTTTTTGGTTTGCATACGCGTGTACCTGCGCCTGCGCGCGGGTCCTCACACGCCTGTGTCCGTGTGCGCGCTTGCGTGTGTGCATGTGCGTGTGCGTGCGTGTGCCTGCGTGCGCACCTCGGCACTTCCCATTTTGATGAAGCCCTCTTCAAAGGGTGCCACATTTTTACCCAGACTGTTGAGAACCGCCATAGTAAGCTTTTTATTGGTTTTTTTTTTTTTCAGTGCTGCTTCAGAGTAGGGTTTTTATGTTGTTGTAACCGGTTCCATCCTCCTGATTTACTTGGAAAGATCCCAGCATAAATTATAAAAAAAAAGGAAAAAAAAAAAAAAGAAAAAAGAAAAAAAAGTAGTTCTCAGTTTTTTCGAGAGTAACAAGCTATTGTTTAAGTATGTCTAATCAGAAACGTTAACATGCTAATAAAGTGCACAAACAATAATTTAGTACTACACTGCAGAAACATTAATTTATAGATTGCTTTTATTGTATTTTTAAGTTTTGGTGATAATTGTCTTCAGATTTAAAGTGCTGTTAGACTGAGTTCGCTGTACTCATTCTAGATCCCCTAACAGCTTCTCTGTAACTCTCGAGGCTCCTGCCCTTCCCGCAGCCCCGGTAGGTAGGAGTGCTGTCGATAGACCACAGCCTGTGTCTTGCACCGTCTGTACCTGAAGCAATAATCCTGTTGTACGCTAGCGTGCATGCTGCCCGGGTGTTCCTCGTGGACGTAGGATGGTTTCCCTCCCCAACAGGAGCTGTCGTGTCTTTAACAAGAAGTTAACAAGTAACAGACGCGTTACCGTGAGCATGCTAATTGTGTCCCTGCGATAGGGAGCGCATGTGTAAGAAGCAGGATAATTAGTTGAAACGAGAACAAAATTAATAGTATCAAATCAGATCCGACGTCGAAATCAGAGGGGCTTTTCTGTTTTCGGTTAGTTACGCGTTTCTTCAAGTTCCATTTTTGTGATTTAAAATTAAATGAATACCTAAATTCAGTTGTTTTTTCCCCATGTTTTGTAATATATTTTCTGTGGATTATATCTTGCTGTTTTAAAAATCACTTTTGTTCAGTTAGAAGAAGTCACTGGTTTGCAAAGCCCATTTTTCCTAGTGATTGTTGTTTTGAGTGTGACATGAACTGATGGTTCTGAACTTTATTGTTTTAAACTCTATTTGCTTTTGAACACGTATGTTCTAATATAAAGTGGACTTCTGAAAAATGAATGTAAGAGACACTGGTGTATTTCAGAAGGGGATGGTGTTGTCATATACTGTGGTTAATCCAATCAATCTAAGTGTTTACTATAGACCAAAAGGATAGATGTTATAAAATGTATAAAGTTTATACAGAATAATTATAGTATGTTCGTTTTGTACAGTATTTTTCAAGTACAAATACTGACAATGTATTTTGAAAGAGATATATATAGCAAAAAGAAAAAGCTATTCCATGTTTAAAATATATAGCAAAGATATATATTCTCCATTATTGTACAGAAAGGAAATGCTTAGGGGTTTGTTGGTTGTTTGGTTTTTTAAAAAAATCTTTACTATTTTAAGCCTGCCACTGGCACACGGGCATGTTCTGTGCTTTAAATTAAATTTTTATCAAAGTAGTATGGCTTTCCAGGATGTTCCATATTACTGAAAAAGAGAGACTTTATTGTATTTTCCATGAGAAACACATAAAGAAGCTGTTTAATAGGGACAAAGCACAACATGGATTTTAGTCAACTATTGATTGGACAACACAATATTTTGTAAAGGCAGAAAAATAACGTATAACACAAAAACACTCATAGTCATTTCTCATCTGCTGCTGCTGCTAGAACCTGTTTCCAGCCGATTTTTCTTTTTTTTATATAAATAGCTCTGTTCCTGTATACAGTTGTACGTACCGCTTACGGTTATAACACGTGAGGAAACTATGGTGCTACGTGTCTTGCTCACAGTTTTCTAAGTGTTTTGACATTATTTTCGAATAAAAAGGTTGTTCATTCCATTACAGCATTATTCATGCTTCAGGAGATTGTTACAAAGGACTCAACATTTTGTGCAGCATTAAAAATACCCTCGCATCAATGGCACTTCTCCAGTACTTTTCCTCAGACGTACCCGACTTGTCAGTGTCCCTTAAGGTGCAGTACTTGCCTGTGGACCATTGACTCAGCAAATTGAATCGCTATGTGCTGCAGGAAAGTTTAAAGCGTAGTAAGTTATTTTCTGAAGGTCAG